AGAGAGAGAGAGAGAGAGAGAGAGAGAGAGAGAGAGAGAGAGAGAGAGAGAGAGAGAGAAGTATAAAGGGAAAAGATGAAAGAAAAAATAAAGAAAAAGAAAAACTTTATTATGTCCTGTGAACAGGTTCCTTTAATACAACAATTACAAAAATGCTATTACATAAAACTGCTCACTGAGCAATTGGACGATAATTTGGTAATGTAATACATAATGGAATGATAAAGCAATACATATATACATATCATAAACAGTATAAAACAGATACATAGTACATATACAGGGTGGCCAAATTAATGTGCCCACCCCATTTTTTTCCTTTGCGGTTCTAGATAGGAAAAAGTTTGAATTGAGACTCCCCTTCATTTTTCATATAAAAAGTAAGGTCGATTTATTTTTTTCGACCTCAATTCTAAAGTCGAATTGAAATTCTTAATTTTAAATGAGAACCCGCATTTTTCACATTTTTCTTTGAAACTAGATTTTTTGAAATATTTTGAAGAGGAGTGGAAAATCAGCCAAAGTAGAGAGAAAAGTCTGAAAGCTTACTACGTTTACTTATATACACGTATATAACGCAACAATGTAAAACCAAATAAAACAAAATAAAAACAATGAAATCAAAATAATTTTTTAAATTTATAAATTTATTTTTTGTTTAATTTTTACATTAGCGATGAATTTTTATTCTATTTTTTATATTTATTTCTTTTTATTTTGTTAATTTTTATTTTATTTTTTAAACAAATGTCAATGTTTTGCTTGACAATTTTGTAAGAGGTAACTGCATATTGCGTTTTTAAATGTTTGTGGGTTCTTTTTGGTTTTAATATCAGTGGGGAGGGAGTTCCAAAATTTTTAGGAATAGATTTTTGATAAGTGGCAGTCCCATATGGACATAAATCTGCATCAAAATCCCATAGGTCGTTTGACAGTTTCAACATCGCTGTCTAGCACTGAGGTTTTGTCGATATACTAATTGAAATGGGGATAGTGGGAGGGAGGGAGGGAGAGAGGTAGAGAAAGGAGTGAGAGAGAGGGAGAGATAGAAAATGAAACAGACCTACTGACATAGCAGAGTGACAGAAAGTGAGAGCGATTAAGAGAAAGAAGGACAAACAGTATGAGAGAGAAGAGAGAGAGAAGGTGAGAAAGTGAATTAACAGGGAGTGATAAAGAAAGAAAAATGGAAAAATAGACTGTCAGTGAACCAAAAAATAAAACTTGATAAATATATAAAAATTTGTTTATTATAATTGTTGATTATATTTTTAGCTCTGTTGCATACGATGCTTCGTTGGAATTATTCATAGATTACCAAATGTAGCCAGTTGCGTTGATCAGACTTTCCAGTACTGACGTTTTCCAATTTAAATGCCCCAAGGAAATGAGCTAACTTCAACAAGTCGTCATAAACTTGAAAAGCGGAAAAATTAGATAAACTTTTTCTATTCGAACATACAAGAAGAGCTTAAGACCGACGAGAATCTATCTATAAGTGCCTTTACATGACAAATGGTGTACATAAACGAAAACTTCAAGCAATAATTTTAAACTTATACAAATTAGGACAATCAGTTTAAAACAGTGGTTTTTGGAATAAGTGCACTTTTAAAACATTGTTTTCTTTTGATTTATGATTATACTCCAGTATAATGCACTAAAACAAATATTTGGACGTGTTTGTATTTTTAATCATAGATCATTACTTTTTTAAACAAAAAATTTTCAATATTAAAATAACATGATATGCAGAATATTATTAAGGCCAGTTTTTCGTAATTCATTACAGTGCAAATTGCAAAAAATGTAAATTAACATTTTTTCATCATATTTTCTTCGTTTCGACGTTATAATGAGGAGGGTGAAGAAATCAATTTTCCAAATATCTCTGATTACTGAACAGGGGCTATCAGATTATAATCAAGGAAGTTGGAACGGGGAAAAAATTAATTTCTATTTTTAATTAAATGCCACCAAGAAGGGTTGACGTCTGAATAAATTACCGCTCGAAACGTCAAATGTTAAAGATAAATGGATAAAAATTATGTTCTGTAATAAGAAAATCAAGATTCAGCGTTATTTTACGGTTTTTATTATATATTATAGAGAAGCAGAGGATGGCTCTGATTTTACTAATTATTCCTTGTTTACTAAGCCTTTAGCATATGTGATTATATTATCATCGTCACAAGCCATACTAACATCAAAATTGATAAGACAGTCCGATACAGTTCGTAAAACCATGGCATGACTAATGACTTTAACTCTGATGATGTTGATATAATCAACGAAAGGCCATCCTTTCATCCCTTTTCTTTAAAACTGGTCGATAATCTATTCAACAATATTAATTATCTAACGTCACAGAATTTGTTGACTCAGCTTTCGAAATCCTGAGATTGGAAAATCTATTTTAAACATTGACCAGGAGAGTTGGTGGCCGCAACGGTTTAGGTAACGCGGCGCTCATCACTGTTTCTAGGTAAAGGTCCTGGGATCGAATCCAGCGGCCCCGCACTTGAACCCGACATACAAATGGGATTTTTTTGAAAAACACCGGCACCCCGAAAGTTTATATAACCTCGTAGTTAAAAAACAAAACATTGACCAATTTTGGTTTTGATAATACTACACGCACCATTCATTTAAAAATTAAAGTTAAAATAAAAGTAATATATGTTTTACTTCATCAGAGACGACACAATCAGAAACTATCAAGAAGATCTAACACCAGGCGAAGCCACTAACTGCTCGCTGTGGAAGGCCATAAAAAAAAATTAAAAGACCAATCGCCCAAATTCCTCCATTAAAAAAAGAGGATGGTACTTGGGCGAGAGACAGCAGAGAAAAAGCCGATTTGTTTGCTAGTTACCTTGCTGAATGAAATCATCAATGGCAGCTTACTTGAAGTAACAACCACGCCACAAGAAGAAAATATAAAGCTAGTTTCACCTAAAGAAGTAGCACAAGAAATTAAAATTTACCTGCTAAAAAGACTCCGGGATACGATCTTATCACTGGAGAAATTCTAAAACAATTGCAAAAAAAGGGGTATAGTTAAACTAACATACCTATTTAATGCTGCAATCAGACAGAAATATGTTCCCAGCATCTGGAAATTCGCAGAAGTCTTTATGATCAAAAATCTTTCCTGACCACCAATTTGGATTCCGAACAAGACATTCAACAATAGACCAAATTCACCGAGTAGCGGATGTAATAGAAAAATCTCTTAAAGAAAAACAAATTTGTTCTGCTCTGCTATCTTCCTTGATGTCTCACAAGCTTTTGACAAGGTCTGGCACGAAGGACTCATCAATAAACTAAAAGGTATGCTAGCAAACCAGTATGTCGATAGCATCAGTTCCTACCTAACTGACAGACTGTTTAGAGTCAAACAAGAAGATCAATATTCAAAATTAAAAACAATAAATGCAGGAGTGCCACAAGGTAGCATATTAGGTCCACTGCTTTACTTGTTATACACCAGTGATTTTCCGAAAACAGATGAAAACGTTTGCAGATGACACAGCAACGATATCACTAGGACCGACTATCACCCATTCAACCAAAACCTCCAAAATGCATGTAATAAGATAAACGAATGGACAAAAAAATGGAAAATCAAGTTAAATCAGCATAAATCAGTTCATCTAATCTTTACAAAAAAAAAAGTTGGACCATGTTCCGTCGCTCACAATCGATGGAATTACTATACATACAGCAATACAGCTAAATATCTGGGAAGACCTTACATGCCAAGCTGAGATGGAAAGAACACGTGAAGAAAAAAAAGGACAGAAATAGGTTTATGGTATAGACGATTGGTCTATAGATATTGGTTGATAGGTCGTGGCTCTAATCTTGCTATACAAAATAAAATATAATTATATAAACAAGTCATAAAGCCTATGTGGGCATATGGTATTCAACTATGGGCTTGTACCAAACACAGTGTCATACAGACACTCCAAAATAAAATCTTACGTTACATAGTCAATGCACCGTGCTACATAAGGAATAAGGACTTACATAGGGATCTTAATATCCCTAAAGTCAAGGCGGAAATACAACGATTTGCCGCCAAACACCAGACTCGCCAGCACGAGAATGTGGAAGCGACCAAACTCTTACATAACCGAAACATGGTCAGAAGATTAAAAATAACAAATCCATATGGACTTGTGTAGTTAAAAATGAACAGTGAATAGTTAAATGTAAATCTTATTGTACCAATGGGTTTATAAGAATGTAAACATTTATTTATTCTATAATATTATTGTAAAATTAATGGTTGGTCTAACAATACCAGTTTTAATAAATAAATTTAACTTAAAAAAACATTATCAGAAAACTTGAAGTCATTAAGTTTCAAAACTTACGTTTATTTACATATTAAAATATTAACATATATAAAAAGAAATTTGTTCTTCTTGTCTCTGTTCGACAGATTCACCACAGAAACACGCTTAACCAAAACAGCATAAAAGAGAGATGATAGTAAACGATAAACTACATCAGTTTTTGTATTAATTATTATAATAAAACTATTGCAACTGATTTAAACAAAAAAACTTTTGTTCGTGACGTGTACTCCAGCATCCAATCCAAAAAAATCTACATTACAATCTACATCTGTCCATGCCCTACAGCGTTTTCTTTACATCGTATTTGTTTCATACTTTTACTGTGGAGGATGCCACTCACGGTTTGTCAACCTGTTTGTGTCACATGCCAGAGTTTGAGAGCGAGTAATTCGCCCTCAACGTCACGTCAGGCATGACGTGCTGTTTTCTTTTCAAATTTGAAGAGTTTTTTCTTTTTGGTTGAGCACACTTTTGGTAAGTGGCCAACTTTGTGGCACACAAGTTGGACAGGGAATAATAACTTTACTTTTACTCTTAAAACCTAAATATTTCAATTTACGAAATCAATTTTGTACATTGCTTGGTTAGTTCATGTAGAGTTTTGAGTAACATTTTTGTTTTAAATTTCAGGTGAACAAGGTCTACGTTATCGTTTCGTCATTGATTTCTTTCTGGATTCCCTGTACGATTATGGTCTTCACGTATTTGGCCATTTTCAAAGAGGCGACCAGGCAGGAGAAGCAGCTGCACGCCCGTATCGGCAACCAGATGCTGCTGAACAACAGCCGTGACTGCAACGGCGATACTCTCGGATCCTCGGGGGGCTCCAGCAAAGCGCTCGCTCTCAACGAGGTCGGTCTGCACAACACGCCGACCAAAGACAGGAACATAATTAAAATGAAAAGAGAGCACAAGGCCGCAAGGACACTGGGCATCATCATGGGCACATTTATTTTATGCTGGCTTCCTTTTTTCCTATGGTACAACTTACGTTACTATAATCTGACTATTTATGACCTGTCTGCTTAATTCCTTCAACGATAAACGCACATACGAAAAGCCTAATTTTTATATTAAGACGCTGTGTTATGATGTATGTTCATAATATATTTGTTATTAAGCAGACTGGTTTTGACCAAATACAGTAGCATATCATCTAATACTTTGTTTTATGTATTAGGTATGTGATAACGACTCTGTGCGGTGATGCATGCCCTTGTCCTGACGTAGTCGTAGCCCTGCTTTTCTGGATCGGCTACTTCAACTCCACCCTCAATCCGATCATCTACGCTTACTTCAACCGCGACTTCAGGGAAGCGTTCAAGAACACGCTGCAGTGCGCTTTCTGCTCCTTATGCAGGCGGCCGCCGTCGGACCTCGAGTCGCTGGAGGTCCGCAGGCCGTCGCTCAGGTACGACGACAGGACGCGGAGCATCTACTCCGAGACATATCTGAAGCACATAGACAGAAGGAGAAGCAGTGAAGTCGGTAGCAGTCTCTGATCCGAGCAGCCGGTCTAAGCGACGCTTAGGCCCACCTCTTCGGCGGGTGATAATTTTTTACGCGGGGGTTGAAACAAAACAACAAATCACCATGCGCTCTAATTTCATGGATCTGATGATTTATTATTAAATGACAAAATGCTAAACTATTGATTTTACCTATTTATGCTTTTTATAAGATCTTCCAAAGGGCAAGCATATCATACGACCCATACAATAAAATATTGGAATCAAAATAAATAAAAACATAAGCCCATCGTATTTTTAATCTCCAATTTTCTCAAAAATATCCGTTACTTAAGTCCTTAAAAGAAGTTACTATTAGAAGTTAGAAGGATTTTCATTTTCGGCTAAGTTTGAAAATATTGTTTTAACTAGAAAAATACAGTTTTATATATTTTCGTACATAGATAAACATAAATATCCCAGGAACATTTGTTCTAATTTCCTGAATACAGCAGTTACAGAGATAAACTTTAATTAACAAGAGCCAGATGAGTTAATACTTTTTATTTGACAACCATCCTTTGATCCGTTAAATTTAAAAAAAAAACTTGAAATTAAAAATGTAATTGAAATGCCATATCGGGACAAAATCGAGTTGCTTAATTTTTCAAACATTACTTTTCCTACATTACCAATTTTTGCCAGAGAAATGCAGTGTCTCTCTAAAAAATTGTGTTAATCAAATATTATAAAAAATACCAATACAAATTATTGATTAGTAATAAATAAAAACCGTATATTCGTGCGATAAAAACCTGCCAAAAAATACTTATAAAAAAAAGAATCTAATAAAAATAACAGCTTTCTATTTAGGAATCAAAATTGTATTTACATAAGAAATTTAATCCTGAGCATTGTTTATTGTGTTTTTTATGATCAATCGCTTATCCTCATTTTTAAAACGCAATACAAATTTATAATTAAATTTTATCTTACATTCGTAAAAATTGAAGTAGATAGCGACAGTAAAGTAAGTTTTAAAGTTGGTAAACAATATATACAAAACTTTTCAATAAAAAGTCATACTAAATAACCAACTTTAAGCATTAAAAGAATAATAACAACAAAGTTTTCGTTTTAATTTACTACCAAGTGCATAAGGTTTGTTTTCTTATTCATTGTGATTGCACATTTTATGATCAATCAAGTTTCTCATTTGTAAATCACAGTACAAATTTACAATTAAATTATATAATGAAATTATATAATATACATGGAGATAGCGACAGTAACATAAGTTTTAAAGTTTGTAAAAACATGCTGTAAAATACATAGGAAACTTTAAATTTAAAAAAAATAAGGACAAAGTCTAAAAAATTAATTGTTTTCATGGTAGTTAACTTTGTTCTGAGCCTTGTCATCCTGAATTTCTCACAAAAAAGAAAGGCCAGCATTATATCTAAACTTGTTAGCGTAGATTGCTTTCTCGTACGAAGATAATATTTTTTTAGCATACGGTACAAGCAATTTTGTCATCGGTCCTTATCGCTCGATAGTACAGCATCCATCCATTTAATTTTGAACTTAAGGTACATATAACTTGAATCATTTCTTTTACGTAGCACTGCTCCGCTTCCAAGACGAAAAACGACTGGGAACTGAGAGATCTGGAACTGATGAGACACAACGGATTCTGAAAATAAAAAATTAAAAGAAAAATGGCAAGTTTGTACAGTAAAATATCAAAATGTGCAAAATAAAATTCGTCCTTTTTATAATAGAATTTCTGTCTTGGTTTCATTCCATTCATACATAGAGAAAACAATTATTTCATTTCCGGTCTTTAGTCGTGAGATTACCTTCGTTTATTGTTACTCACTTATTTTCACTGTACGTGAAAAATTTGAGAATGTCAATAAAAAAAATATAACATTATTATTGTCTGTAAAAGCTTTACCTAAACAAAATATATTACAAGAATATTAAGGATTGCCTGCGCAATTATACTAAAAACACAAGCAATGTCTAGAACTAATACTCAATTTTAAGTAATACTTAATGCATGTCAGCGATAACAAATAAACAAATTCACTCACACACAAATATATTTACTAATTTCTGATATTAATATGCACAAATTTTTTTTCTCTTATTACCAACTTTCATCTGTGATAAATGAAACCCTTCAACAATCAAAGTTAATAATCAATCTGTAAGCAGGTTGGGTTTTACACTCGAGAATTTTTTAATCTGTAAATAGTATTCTAATTATTTATCGATTTAATTTGACAATCGTTGAACTGGAATTTTTCATTGTCATTTTGCATCATGTTATTGAATTTCAAAAGAATCTAAATTTTTGTAAGAAATAAGTGTGCATGGTGATTCATAAAACTTAAAAAGGACCTGAGAAACGGTCGGTATGAAAACGGGTACCCATTATAGTATAATAACAATAAAATCATTTTACAAAAAGCCTAGCGTGTGTATTAAACCCTTTCATAATAGATTGTAGATATATTCGTTTTATTTTTTATCAAAGTGATATGCGTCTTTTGTTTTTTAATTTAACATTTAAATAATGTGTAAAATAAATTCTATTGTATTATGTAAAAAAAATAAGCCGCCCTCCCGTTGTATCAATTGCAATATCTAGATGTATGGATGTCAATCAGTGTTAGCTCTATATTCTCGTGTATTTTAAAAAGCCTGGAGTTTTGTAATTAAGTTAAAACTAACATCTGCAAAATTTGTAAACCGCTAAAAAAACTCTTGTGAACATTATTTTTATAGATAAAACTTTAAATGTTGATGAGGCCGTACGCTTTAATTTATTATATCGTTATTTCATTATGGAAATTTTGTTTTTGACGGATTATATTTAATTTTACTCTCTAACCGACGTAGGTTTAATTTGTATAGCTCCGTTTCGAAGGGATCAAAAAAAAATTATAAAAAGAAAAAGGACCTCAATTATTTTTTTCGCCCCCACGTATATCACGAGGTTCGCTTTTTGTCAATTAGAGTGATTTACGTTATAAAGCGTATAACAATAAACGCGTTCACACAAATCTATAAATTATCTGAGAGTATTTAGGTAAATTTTATTTTTTAAAGAAACGTCTATTTTTCACACAAGGGTCCACATAGTTCGTATTTTCAAGAATAGAAAATAAAATAAACTAATCGCTTACTAACCAGATTTGAGCTAACAATTTAGAATATGTTTGTGAAACAGTTTTGGTTTTAAATATGTGGTTATCAAGTTACCAAATGTTAAATTAGACATTTTGTTTTATATGTTATATTTTCGCTGCGTTTTTAAGCGTAATTGCACGGACAAATCGACTGTAATTTAGTAACTTTGATCCTAATAATAAAAATCAAATAGATCATCTCCAAATTTATGGTAACGCAAATGAGAAATCCTTCCAAAATCTAAAACAAAATGCAAACTATTCCGTTTAAATTTTACATAAGAAATTTACAGAATTATTACTTTTAAAAAAATGAATCAATTTATGAATTTTTCAGCCCAGTTTTAACGAATTTGTATTGATGATTTGAAAAACCTACATTTAGCATGTTTACATATGACAAACTGAACATAAAACGCTTCCAACTTGACGAAATTAACTGGTAATTTATGCATTTACTTTTATATTTATAGCCGGAAAGATTATTTTTATCTATGTAAATGATATGTCAGCAAAAGTTCAGAGAAATGGTTTAAAAATTTTATGGCATTACAATTATACTTTTTATTACTATCAATCAAATCGGTAAAAATTTATTACGGTGCTATTTTTATTCACACCTATGATTCATAATCAATAATATTAACAATTAATTTTGTTTATATACATATTAAGTTGTAAAAAAATAACTCATATCTGATAACATTTAAAACGAACCCAATTAATGGAAATAAATAAACCATAGTATTATTATACCATTGATTTCTATTTTTTACTGTTTATTTAAGCAAAATTGAGAAGGGTTCTTTTGAATTTTTAAATCCCAATTTTTGAATAGGAGGTAGAGGAAAGTGATAAATGCAATAATTTTTTGTCTTAACGTGACCGGGGGTAAAAACAGAACCAAAGATTAAGAAACATACTCGTATAATTCAGTTTGAAATATGTTTCGCTATTGTGATAAATGTTCCTCTCTATTTTCCTGACTGTATCTTGAAATAATACCAAACTGTGCATTTTTCTCGTTCAATTCACATATGTATTTTACGTTTTAATGTTTAAATAATAACTAATAAATTATAATAATATTAATAAAATAAATCATTATGTGAGAGTATAATAGAAATACATTAACATGTTGCACGACAATCGATTTGTACATGTTTTGTTAATTGAGACAAACAAGAAAAAAATACTGAAAAATATAAAGAAAACTAGTTGTCTCGTAGACGTTCTTGACAAAAATAATGTAGTTAATTAACCAAGTATAACATTGTGTATAGATTAACAGATGAATAACATAATAACGAAAATATTACAACTTAAGAATCAATAAACGTAAACGTGTAAATAATTGTATTTAAATTTTTTTTGTATAGTTTTGTATATTATGTAAATCACATTAATGTCTAAATCGATAACCAAACTGTAAGTAGATAGTATACGAAATTAAGAAGAGAGAAGAAAAAGAAATTCTAAACTATTAGTTGTTTTCTGTTGGATTTCTAGAAAGCAAAAATGAAATTTAAACAATACCAATTTTTATAACGCTGTTTGTTTGTTTTTTGTACATGTATTTTATGATCCAGAGATTTATATGTGTGACTTAATTGTATATAATAAAAGAGTATAATTAACACCTAAATGTTGGAATTGTAGATATTGTAAATGTTATTTTCATCGGTAAAAAAAGGAAGAAAATATTATGTAAAAATAAAAACCTTAAATTGAATAAAGTGGAACAAACCTGATTGAATAATTAATAAAACCTGTAAAGCTTTGTTTTAAAAATAAATACTAAATAAATTATGCTTCTCTAAAAGCCCAACATAATATACTAAAGTATATACTTACAACTCCTCAAGTAAGTCAATTTTAATTTATTTTACCATGTTGCCACCTTAAAATAACTTGAAAAATTACTACTTTCGTAATTACCAATCATTAAAGTATTGGGAAATGGCGATTTGGTGTACATAAAACTTACACGGTATGTGACAGATTGGAAAGGAATACGAATGCTCCATTGTGGGATGTCGGCCAGTAATCGTCTCATATCTGCGTACTCGTTGCTGCACCGGAGCTAATGTCAGTTAAAATTCCAAGATATGCTAATAAAGGGTGGATAGGAAGCTTTTCAATTTATAGAGGATGCCTGGTTGCCAATCAAAAGCCTGGGCCTCAATCAAAGAACGCACCCAACTCTGTTCTCTAGTTTGAGAATTCTTCTGAAGACTTTAGAATGAAATACTTAGATGGATTGGATATTGGATGGCTTCGTGGTACCACACAGGTCGGATCCGATGTCCAAATTGATCGACATTTAGGGTTTTGTACCGTTTTAGTTTGATTTTAGCGTGAGATGCGCATTCTACGACCCAGTTAATAGATACGAGTGCTTAATCAAGCTACCCCAAGAAAGTAGCATTTTTTCAGCTGAACTCTATGCCATCCGGAATGCGCTCAGCTACTTGAGCTCGAAAACATATGGACAAATCCATGATTATAACGGATAGTCTAAGCTCAATGCTCAAGATAAAATATCGAAAGACGGTAGCAGCAGACAATCATCAATCTTCGAAATATTGGAGAAAATCAACTACATGAAAAACGTGGGTAAGGTAGTGGTTATAGCTTGGGTCAGATCACATGCAGATTTATCGGGAAATGAAAAAATAGATAGATCTATTGACAAAAAAAGCTAGTATTCAGGGTGGAAGTGCATCTTTCGCGCTCCATTACAGTGAACTGCCATTTAGAAGAAATGATATATCAGCTCGTGTAAAGGAAAATTTTATAAAACCATTCACTCAAAATGCGGGGTCTGCTGGTTCAAAGGTAGATTAGTTACTAAAGCTCTGTGCAAATCTATTTGTAGGCTGCGTTCGAACCGCGCGATTTGCAAAGAATATATTTAGAGTAAACTTAGTTAGTTCGGATAGGTGCGATGTTTGCTTAATGACAGAATCGTGCGAGCATATGTTTATGACTTGTTCAAAATATCGCAAAGAAAGGAAGAAGGTGTTTGATTCAATTGGAAAATACCTGGAACTCCCGTTCAATTATAAAACTATCTTAGGGGTGTACGGGGCAATAGTACAATATTTGAGAAAAATAAATCATGAAGTTTAACAAGACGGCTTAAAATAATAGTAATAATATGTGACATGGCTATGGCTATTTATGCTATTGCCAAAAAAATGTCTGATTTTGGTCCAAGCAGTCTTCGTAATTGTCCAGGTCTTCTGGTCGAGTGACTGTCGGTTCAGTCGCATGTAGGCTGTTTTAAAAGGAGTTTTCGAGGATTTTGGACATCATAGGGAAAAGGCTGATTGGGGTGAAGCAGGATATGTGGGAGGAATGTGACGTTCACGCACATTGCATTTTGCTTAAAAATAACGTGAAAATAACATTAAAAATAACAATTAATTAAGGTTTTTAGTTGAGATAAAAAAGTCAATGGCACGAGCACTTTTTTATCTCAACTAAAAAGCTTAATTAATTGTAATATATTAATTGGTCAAGCGGACCACGAAATTAGGGAATTAAAAATAACATTCTAAAAACATTTTAATTGACTAAGGTTCTACAATTCAGAAATTTCAGGCAAAAATCACAAATAAATTGATTGGATAATCTTTGGCGAGAAAGTAAAACGTCTATATACGCCACAATCTAATGTCCCTTAATAATAAATATATATTATATGAGGACTTTTTACGTTTTTGTTTTGGTTATATTCATCACTAAGGTTAAAATAAAAAAAAGCGTATTGTTATATAAGAAATGTCTGTCTCTTGACTGTTATGCCCAATAAGTCTTCACATACTTTGTTTTAAAAACGCTAAATGTAAACAAAAATGGTTTTATATGATTTTATGTTTACAAATTTGATCAGTATTTTATATTTAACGTGAAAGATGAAACATAGTCAATTTACACCGATGAAAATTTGTCGAGAGGTACGACAGTTAATCGTTGACCACAAAGCTGTGGGAATTTTACGCGAAAACACTAGACCTGTGAATAAAGTGTGTCTAGAATTGTGTGTGATTAGAAATAATAACGCAACGAATTGTATTGCAAGTAGATTAGACCAGAACGGCTCAAAAGCTTCAGCACCAGATTATGCCATCCTACGAACTGTTCATCAAAATCTCAAAAATCAGTGCACCTACAATAGATAATTTATTGTAGTATTATAACATTGTCGAAATACCTCAAACCGTACGTAATACATTTAAAAAAATCTCACATCTAGATGCGCCAGTAAAAAGCTGGGTGTTAGCAAAGTAAACCGAGGTAAGTAGCCTTTAC